CAGCAGGCCAAGCAGCATCAGAGGAGCAGGAAGGCTGACGCTTCGGGGGTCTAGGCCCGAAGCATCAGCTTTCCTGCTCCTCTGATGCTGCTTGGCCTGCTGTGGTCATCCAGCTCTACACCTTATTATCAGATTCTCAAGCATCTGCAGTTCCTACTATTTCTGAAACTATGTTTTAATCAACCTGTTCAGAGATGTTATTTCATGCCTCTGGAGCAAGTGGGACCTGAACTCCGATCTTCTGATCCAGGGATAGAGACACTACCACTGTGCCATAAGAGGGTCACTAGTAGCTTCATTTTTGTTTCTCCCTATTCATGACTAGTCTTGACACATTCAGAGCTTTGACCCGACAGATTGCTTATGTAATTAGAGCAGTATTCTTTAACTGTGCTGCTCTGACATCAATGCATCTTTTATCTTGGTCCAAAAGAATGGTCTCTATTTAAATGTTTGAAAATATACAACACTGAAGACGGAAAGATTGTTTTTGCAACTTTCTGTAATTTGTCAAACTGTCTTGAGCTGTATGAACTAGCATCTTTTAATACCAACCCCAGAGAAGATGAACTCCTTCATCTTCAGATTACACTTATTAGATTTGTTTGATATTCTGATGGCTAGCTTAGTTGTGCAGTTTTGACTAGAATTAACTTCTCAAAGCAAATGAGTCTCTGGGAATTGCCTGGGAAGTTGAAGATTCTGATGGGGAATTCGCCTGGGTCTGGAGCACTTCAAAAAGCTCTTTAAAGTCCGAATTCAAAGGGTTGTGACTAAGTTAAGCTTTAGAGTAAACTAGCAGAAGTTGGAGACTTAAAAACCTGCTCTAACTCGGGGGTAACTACCAGTCTGTGAAATCCTGACTCACCACCAAGCCCCTAATACAGTCACTGACACACGAAGACAGGTATGCATGTGCACACAGATGTACATGCACACATACAGATGCACACTTGCTCATTTTTTCTTCCCTTCTTCTCTACCCTAGATTTGAACCCACCCCCCAGCCAGGCCCTACACTAACAGGATTCCAGACCTGATGTGACCCACCACCATCAGGGTGGCTCTCTGGCAGATGTAAAATAACATTAACGTTTAATTAAAACCGAAAGAACTGCAGATGCTGTAATGCAGAAATAAAAACAGAAATTGCTGGAAATGTTCCCCAATTTATCATAGCTGGCTAGCACCTAATACATCATAATCTTTAATTTAAATTAAGGAAACTAAGATTAAGGATTGCTGGAAAAGCTCGGCAAGCCTGGCATCATCTGTGGAGAGAAATCAGAGTTAATGTTTCAGGTTCTGAGGAAGAGAAGAAGGGAAGAGAAAGTAACAAGTGTGCATGCACATCTGTGTGCACATGCATGCTTGCCTTTGTGTACCAGTGAATGTATTAGGGGCTTGGTGGTGAGTCAGGATTTTACAGACTGGTTCTGAGGAAGGGACACTGGACCATAAACATTAATTCATATTTCTCTTCACAGATGCTGCCAGACCTGCTGAGCTTCTCCAGCAATTTCAGGTTTTGAAATAGCATCTCATTAACAATGTCTAAGAATGAGGAAGACAAGTTTACAGGGTCGCCATTACTGAAATCCAAATGTAATATTGTGTGGAAGAAAGAGTCCAAATCTGAATTTCATAACTCTATATTAGAATGGGTTAGTTTGAAAGGTACACTCAAACTTTCTTTCATCACTGACTTTAGAATTGTGCTGAAACAGGATTTCTTTACCTTTAATTTTGGGGTATCCCACATCATTCAGTTGGTTTTCCTTTTGAAAATTTTTCAAAGCAAATTTTTTCTGAAGGAAAAGTCATGCCAACTTATCTCATCTCTGGTTTAAAAACCATGCAATGATAATTTTGGTACAGAAACAAGGAAGCGAAATGGAACAAGAATAACTATGAAAATGACCTGCAATTGTTCCAATGTAGTTTAAAAGTCAGCATTTAAACTGTCCACAAAAATTGAACTTGTTTATATGGAGTAAAATTGTGTTTACAGTATTATTGTAGTCTTGAACAATCTGAGTGTGTATTTACTTCTAGCGCTTTACATTAAGGTTGTTTATGCTTTTAATACACATGGGAAAACATTCTCTTCATGGAGGTCTTATAACAATATGTTTGGGATTCTTTTCCCTGATAGGAAGAATTTCAGGACCTGTACCGTACCAAGTCATTTGTATTTTTGGGCTGTGGAGAAACTCTGCGTGATCAGATCTTCCAGGCACTATTTTTGTATTCTGTTCAAGACAAAGTGGACCTGGAGCACTTCATGCTCGTGCGAAAGGATAGCCATGATCATTTCTTTAAGTTGCAGGCAGAGATGCTGCTGCATGGGATTAAAATAGTATCCTACGGCGACCAATTTGAATGTATGCCTCAGTATTTCCATGACTTGGTGGCACAGATTTGCAGGAGGAGGAGCCCAGGTAAGTCATCTGTTACTGATATTGGGTTCTAATACACGAGGAATTACTTTTTATCCTGATTATTGCCTTGCACTGTAAATCTTTTTTGAGGCCCTAGATAGTCACAATTTTAGTAGGAGCATGTTTTTTTAAGTCTGCAAAAATGAATCCTGTTGAATGGAAATACAGTAAAATAGGTAAATATAATGCAGTGGAACATATGCTATTTAATTCATGTCTTAAGAAGTGACCGATGCAAAAATAATGCATTGAGAGAGCAAATTCAACAATGCTTCTCATCCTATATTTGGGTTCTGTGTCTCAGTCTCTCTTTGTGCCTGACCAAAATGGAAAAGAAGGTAGGGTAACATTACTAGTTAAAGAAAAAAAACAATATTGAGGAAGGATGTTAACTCTCAAGTGGAATCTGTATGGGTAGAGTTTAGGAATACCAAGGGGCCAAAAACAGGTTTATACACAGACTCTCAAACTGTAGTGATAATGTTGGGGAAGGCATTAAAAAGTAATTTAGAGAAACAAACAATAAAGGTAGGGCTGTAATTATGGGTGACTTCAATCTGGAGTGTATGAGATGGGTTTCTGGATCAATATGTTCAAGAACCAACTAGAGAGTAGGCTATCCTAGTATCCTATATTGAGAAAGGAATAATTGGCAATCAAGCTGTGCGAGGCTTCTTGGGGAACAGTGACCATAATATGATAGAATTCGTCATTAAGACAGAAAGTGATGTAGTTGATCCTTAATCTTAGTTTCCTTAAGTTAAGGACTATGATGTATTAGGTGCTAGCCAGCTATAATAAATTGGGGAACGTTACTTAAAGGGTTGATGGTGAATAAGAAATGGCAGATATTTGAAGAATATGTGGAGGAATTGCAGCAATTGTTCATTCTGTCTGGCTCAGAAATAAAATGGGAAAGGTGGCCCAACCATGGCTAACAGGGGAAATTAGATTCAAGGGAGGGTATACAGATTTACCTAAACTGTAAATTTGAGGATTGGGAGCAGTTTAGATTTCAGCAAAGGGGTTGAATTAAGAGAGGGAAAATAGAATATGAGAGTATGCTTGCAGGGAACATACAAACTGAATGTAAAAGCTTTATAGGTATGTGGGAAAAAAAATTGGTGAAGACAGATGTACATCCCTTACAGTCAGAAACAGGGAAGTTGTAATGGGGAACAAAGAGCAGAAATGGCAATTAAGTCCATATTTTGGTTCTGTCCTCACAAAAGAGGACATCAATAATATTGGGGAATGCAGAGTCTAGTGAGAGGACAGAATGCAAGAAATCAGTATTAATAGGGAGGTGTTGGCAAAATTGATGGGATTAAAGGCTGATAAATCTCAGGGGCCCTAATGATCTACATCCTAGTGTGCTTAAATAAGTAGCCCTAGAAATAGTGGATGCGTTGGTGGTCAACTTTCAAGATTCTATAGATTCTGGAACAATTCGTACGGATTGGAGGGTGTCTGATAGAACCCTACTCTTTAAACCAGAAGATGAGAGAAAACAATGAATTACAGACCCATAAGCCTGACCTTGATAGTGAAGAAAATGCTAGAGTCCATTAGAAAGGATTTAATTGCAGAGCACTTAGCCAACAGTGGACAGTCAGCATGGATTCATGAAAGGGAAGTCATGTTTTAAGGATGTAACTAGTAGAGTGATAAGTTGGAGCCAGTGGATGTGGTTTATTTGGACTTTCAGAAGGCTTTTGATAAGGTCCAATATAGGTCTCAAGATATTGGAATGGGGGATTGAACTGGCATGAATAGAGACCTAGTTGGCAGACAGGAAACTAAAAGTAGGAATAAGCAGATCTTTTACTGAGTGGCAGGCAGTGACTGGGGTACTACAGGAATCAGTGCTATGACCTTAGCAACTCCTAATATATTAGTAAGGGGATCGAGACTTATTTAGAGAAGCTAGGAGAATGGTGTTGAGAAGCATACTGGCCATGATCAAATGGTAGAGCTCGATGGGCTCAATAGCCTAATTCTACTCCTATATCAATGGTCATCTAATAAATAAATTATTTAGATGAGGGGTTATAACTTACTCAGAGATAGTAAGAACTCCAGATTCTGGAGTCAGAGACCACACATTGTGGAGCTGGAGGAGCACAGCAGGCCAGGCAGCATC